TGTCCTCCAAAACCTTAGACCTTAAACGCTCATTGCACTCTATCATAAATCTTGGCAGTATGTACAAGAACCATGACAATTAAGTATCTCTGACTGAATACAGCAAACATTGCGTGTTCCAATTGCCGTTTCCGCGCTTATATAATTTAAGGTTTAGAGTTTTTGAAGGACAATATTTTTTTAATTAGCTTGTGCTCTATAATATCCCGTTCTGAAAGCCCTATTTATAATGCATGTATATAGGCTTGATACGCATTCAGATTTGGCTAATGCTGAGTTACTTTTATAGACTTGTAAGGCAGTCATTGAAGGAAACTGCTTGCCAGGCCTGTGCTTGCATGCATGACTTTCCTCCAGAAGGAATAGAACTATGCCTTGTCCTTCAATAAAATGGATATGCCTTGATATAAATGGCTATATTTGGCAAAATTCTTGTATCTAAATAACTTGTTTGAAACTAGACATATATAATAGCTATAATATAATAGTTTCGAAAGTAAAGCCTTTTAGTATGTACTTTTTAGTATGTGCTTTCATGCACATTGAATATGCGAAACACTTCCTCAACTTGAAAGTTTAAGTCATTTTGTGGGAACAGGTGAGCTGTTGGTGTGATGTTCCTTTTGGGTTTGGTAGTCATTCTTGTGTTTGACTATAAGATAAGGAGATCAAATAAAAATATTAGTTAATGAGTGAAGTGAAGGTGTTTAATTGTTCTCTTTGTTTATATTGGCAATTGTATTGTTCAATTGAATTGTACAGGACAGCACAGCACACTGAAATGTACCCTATAGCTAGGCAAAATGTGGCTTTAGACATTCAGCAGATAATGCCAAATTTGATATTTTGGGATGAGAGATTTGTTCCACACAGAAACCCTTGGCTTATAATTGATGAACTTTAGACTCCGCTAATGCTTTTGTTTCCCTGGGTGTAAATAGATTACTATCTAGTATTAAGATAATTTTAAATCTATACTCAAATCACACGTTTGAGTTTACAAGATTTTTAAGGATTAATGTATCGATATAAATTTTTTTTTACCTCTATTTACATATTATTAAGTAGTCTAAGAATAAGTAACTAATAAGATCTTATCATACAAATTTATAAAGACATCTGTTAATAAAAGAGCGTTTATAACGTTCAGTTCTTACTAAAGGCAGTTCAAACTTGTGACCTCTCTGCCTTAAAGGTCTATTAATCTTATTCGGTAATAATTCTTGTAATGAGTTATGTTCATTATTTATAATTCTCTTCCATAACTTTCTATCCCTGTCTGTAATAATTTCGCTAAAATCCACCTTTTCTGATATATACCCATTTCGATATGAACGGTTAATAAATTTATCTATTTGGTTAATGTACTTGCTGTAAGTACCTCCCCAAAGTTCTATTCCATAAGTGAATAACGACATTATTAGACTGTTAAATAAAAGATTTAACTGCTTGATAGGCATACCATAATACTTGCAAACACATAGTATATACATTCTTCCCCCTGCTTTTCCAATCATCTCATCAAAATGTAATAATTTTAACCATGATTTACATTCAATATGCAGAACAGCTGGTAAGGGTGTTGAGATTTTTCCCTGAATGACCATTTCGTATGTTTTTTCCATATTAAGATGCATTCTATTTCTTACAGACCATTCTTCAATATTGTTGATTTCGATCATTGATGAGTCTCCATAACAATGCCCGGGGACTTCCAATGTCAGGTCATCAGCAAATTTCACTAATTCGTTTTGAAGATTGGCTGGTTTGATATCATCTATCATTATTGAAAACAATACTGGACCTAAAACAGTTCCCTGAGGAACTCCTCTATTAATTTTCACATAGTCTGTTTGAATTCCATCTACCTTTACTCTTTGGTGACGATCCTTCAAAAAGTTAACAATCCAATTGATAATATATGGATAATAGGAAGGCTTTTCAATTTACCACAGAGAATATCATGCGGCACGCTGTCGAAGGCTTTTTTGAAAAAACTCTCACATATTTGGCACCGTTTTCTAACCATTTTAATGACGTATGTTGGCACTTGATTAAGGCCATTGCGGTGTTATGGCCTTCCTTGTAAGCAAATTGGTCTGATCCAATAGTATCACGGCTAGAATGAACAATTTCAGTTTTATATATGCATTTCTCAAATATTCTCATGATTATATCAGTCAGCGAAATGGATCTTAGCTGATTGCAATTAACTAAGGTAGGTTCTTTAGGAACTGGTAGCAAATTAGCTTGTTTCCATGCCATAGGTACCTTACCAGCTATTAGTGATGAGTTAAATATTTGAGTGATAGTTGGTGCTAATTCAGTTGCAAATTCTCTCCAGAACCAATATGGGAGATCATCAGGACCTGATGATGTACATATTTGTTCTTGAAGAAACTTGAAAACCATTTTGACAGTAAGCGAAGGAACTCTAGTGCCCTCGGGAATTTGTAGTAATTCTGGAGATTCATAATATGGATCAGTACATAGATTATGGAAGAAACCATTTATTTCATTAGGATCTATGAAAGATGTAACCAGTATTTTGTTATCTTTTCTCCCTGTGATTTTGTTGATATTGGATCATCAAGCTTTTGATCCTGATTTATATTTTTGGTTTTCATTCCGTACGTCATTAAGTTGATTTTTACGGATGAGATCAGTAATCCTGCCTTGCAAACGAGTGTTAACTTCACTGTTTCTTGCCTTGATTGATCGCTTTCTTTGCTTTAGTAGATGTCTAACCAAGGGAGACATAAACGGTGGGAAGCTTTTCTCAAATTTTGGCCATATGGAATTGTAAAGTTTTTCAACCATTTCATCCACAGATTGATCTCCACATATCCAATTTTCTGTGATGTCTTACATCTCTGAAATATGAGTACGTTCTCTTTGCTTTGATAACTTCTCGAGGATATGCTATAATCATTATGTGACCAGATCGTACTAAGCTTTTTGCGACTTTTATGTTCTTCCAATAATGTGGAGTATTTGTGATAAAGACGTCTAATATGTTATCGCCTCTGGTAGCGGGGGGAATTAGTACCATCGCGTGCCGTCGGCTCGGGGACCACCACAAACTTCTAATAACTCTTGCAATATCCATATACATAATTTTACAAGATTTGTAAACTGAACTGTCTCGTTCTGTTCTATTTCTTTGCATTGAAGTCTTCCAACTCCAACCTGTACTCAAGTTGATTATAGTTGTATATATGTAATAAGTAATATACATATAAATGTAGATAATCAACAAGAAATGTTCGTAATTTGCCCTAAATTGCTGCATCAAAATGTTATGGTGCTTTATATATGAAATTGACAATTTACTTTTTTGAAAGAGCTAAAATAGCCCCTTTTTGAAAGAGCCAAAACAGCCCCACATAGAGCTAAGTTGGCACTGTTTCGGTAGCTGGAATTGATGTCATTCTAACTCTATGATTGAAAACAGCCCTTCGAAAGAACCAAAATAGCCCACATAATAGCCAAAATGGCCCTTTAATAATAGTCCAAATTGGCTCTATTTTAATGGGGCCAAGACGGCCCCATTAAAGTGGGGCCGTCTCAGAGTCAAAATTTCAGCACCATTTTTAGGGCCAAAATGGCCCTTCTGAAATTACTGTGTATATACTATACTGTACTGCACTGTACTGCATTGTAATATACTGTAATATACTATAATATAGTATATCATATACCTCCAATTAATGGCTCGTAAGGGTACTTTTTACAAACATTCATCTCCCAATCATCGTGGATATTCAATATACAATTCCGCAAGGAAACACACTGAAATCACATGCATTTAGTAATTAAAGAATGAGTCTCAGGGTAATGCATTGTGCGCTTGGTCGGCCATTTTTGGGTGCCTCTAAAATGGTGATGTTTGTCTGTTAGGAGTTGTGTGAATTGACTATGTGAATATCCGAACAATCTCTTTGATAAATTATTACTTTTCTAATTCTTGTGGTGTGCGTGTGATGCAAGAAGTTCTGACTATTATTTATCAATATTTTGTTGTAATAAACTACAATACTCGTCGGATGTGTTGATATTATTCCGAGATATATCTACTTTCACGGGCGCATCACCTCCCAAGCGTGGAAGGCCAAGAGATGATGTAGGAATTGTACGAATTAAAATAAAGGATGTATACGAGATGTGGATTGCAAGAAAAAATTCTGTTTGATTTTCTACAAAGTCAAACAGCAATTTTGCACCACACTTGCTCCTAAATTTCTGTGAAGAACCTTTATTGGAAACTCCAGGCAACGGTAAGAAGTATAACTCATAATTTACAATATTTACTTTCCTTCTAAACTTAGTATTTATGTTTATTATATCCCCAGTTATGATCATGTCGTTTTAGATCGGCCGTCAGAAAATGTTCATTCAACGCCAGTTAAGAAAAGTAGACCTGTCCAAAAGGGCTTTACATATATATCACCGATATTCAGTGACTCCGAAAGTGACATGTTATAGACTGTATAAAATACCATAAATATTTTTAGACGTAGATTTAGTGAAAAAATACAGGAAACAACATATTAGTAGGTATACTAACTATTTCTTTCATATAATGAAAAGGCAAGGGCAACATAGCATGAATTTGGCCCTTGGCACAAGGGCCAAATTCTGATACCACTGTGCTTAAGTGTGTTCAGTGGTTTGTTATATAGTAAATGTGTCTCTTTCAACATCACAGTTTTGTAATACCTGTATAATTTCTGTAATTTGCTTGTGCCATTTATAACTTACTTTATGTGAATCTATATAATTCTAATTTAGTATATTAGGTGGTGTTTTGAGGGCATCATGGGAGTGTTGTAAAGGTCATAAAGGATTATGGACATCTTCAAAAGTACTCTGTCAAAAAAAGAGAAAAATATTTATACCAGTTCCTTGTTGATGGCAGGTCTGGAAAGAACTTTGACAAATTAGCATTATTTGCTTGGTTTCTTGGAATTGGTTTTATTTCAAAGTCAACATACAATAGGATGCAAACTCATTTTATCATTCCTGAAGTTAAAAGATATTGGGAACAAATGCAAGATGAAATATGGGATATCCTGTCTGGTGAGCCAGTTGTCTTGTGTGGTGATGGTCGAAACGATTCACCAGGACACAGTGCAAAGTATTGCATGTATGCTTTCATGGAGCAACATCTAGATGTCATTGTTGATGTGGAAGTGGTGGACAAACGTCAGACAGGAGGCATATCAACTAATATGGAAGTCTTTCGGTTAAGAACAATACTAGAGAGAATGGTTGGCAACATGCCTGTAGAAAGTAGGAAGTTATGGAGCGACGCTACCTCCAAAGTCTAAAGGGCTAACTCCAAACCAAAATATACACTTGAGTAACTTGTGTAATTCAAGACTGAGTTGAAATATGAATTCTGGAGTTACTGGCTAACTCCAAAAATCATTTGGAGCTAAGTATACAACTGCAAAAATAATTTAGGAGCTAGGCATCTAAGCCTGGAGTTACTGGCTAACTCCAATAATCATTTAGAGCTACGTATAACTCCAAAAATCATGAAAAAACAAGGTATTTAAGCCTTGAGTTACGCCTAACTCCAAAAAGTATGTGTATAGCGAGGCGAGTCAGCCTATAGCCGCTAGAAACATACATGTAAGGTTGAAGTTACTTGCTGTGTTGCTAACTCCAAAAATCATTTGGAGCTTGTTATCTAAGCCAGGAGTTACTGACTAACTGGAATAACTGCAAGAACTCTCAGAATGCACTTCTATATTCTGCTGTATTAAATAAGACTGAAATACCCACAATATGCGCATAAACATGACATTGACACACTTGGCATTTTGTTCTCATTCAGAGGCTAAATTTTGATCTGCAGTTGACTGTTGAGGCAAACCCATTCTCGTACACCGCGTCCTTGTCATGCTCTGTTGATTGTGTGTAAGGCGGGCTCTGGGTACGAGAATGTGGCATAGTCTAGCTCCATTTAAAGATTGGCTACCTCCACAAAAATAAAATCTACAGGTATGATCCTTATGCTTTTTTCAATAGGAATGATGCTTTTGTTAGCAGAACCTACCTGGCTGCTATTGATCACAATGCACATGTGTTTCGCAAAGCAGCAGTTACTGCTAGTGGTAAACCTAAACACAATAAAGTTTACAGCAAGAGATCCAAAAATTGGAGAGTCAAAGTTGTAAAGGAGCCCAGAACCTATGATTTCTGGCCTACCATTGCTTGTAGAATTCTGAAGAAGAGAGTTGATGATGAGGAAAGTATACTTCAAAAAGTTGAAATCCCTAAAGAGCATCCGAAGAACATTGCCCAATCAATTGCGCTCAAACCCATACCCAAGACAAGTGATCTTGTTGAACAGTCATTGTCAAGGTTTGCTGCTAGCACTCCTGCACAGTCACATCCAACAGCAGATGCACAGAATGCGGGAACAACATAACTGACTCAGACATGTTGTGCTTGTTACATGTATGTACTCTACATCGACTGTATCTAACATTTCAATTAATTTTATTTGTTGTAATTAGAAAAAATGCCAGTTTGTTACTGAATTGTGTTGCGTGAAATATGAAATTCATATAATTGGAATATTTTTTACATCTAGACTATAAATTAATTTCTGTAGGTTTTGTAGATGGAAATTTCGAGTGTGCATTTTTATACATTTATCATTTAGTTACCTATACACATTACACTGGCTATCAGTTGGTTAGAGCACTGCACCAGAATTGCAGGGCTGAAGGTTTGATTCCTGCCATAGCTGTCTCCTTGTTAGGTCTGATAATGTATAAAAATTCACACTTGAAATTTCCATCTACAAAAACCTATATTATGTGCTATTGTATATAAATGTTTATGGAGATAGTGATCGTGCTCTTTTGAATCCCATGTAAACACCATCATCAGCAGGGTATATGTGTCTTATTGCCATTACAACACAAGATGGGCACACCCTTCGGTTCCCTCTACCCAACTTCTTATATCGCCATAATATGTACTGGCGATAAGCAGTCTGGTTCCTCTGCCCTAATGTCACACCTTCCTCGAATAGCCATGACAACACATCCCTGTCTGTGCAAGTGTTTTGAAATGTAATAAATGATGTGACACATTTGACTTTGCAACATTTATTTTCTTCTTCAGTTGGCATAGGTTGGCATACTCCACATGTGCACCATGGTGGTCTTGTGTCAGGAAAAGCAGTAGGGTTTCCACTAAATTCCAGGAGGTTCTTTGCATAATGAAGGCTCCCTTTTCCATTACTAAGCAGTTCCAGCAGTGCCTTGTCCTTTTGATCAACTGTCATAGTTCCAATGAATTCCTAAACAGTATTTCAATGGTTTTATTATTTTGTATTACATGATCAAACCGAGACCACCGGCCTTTGATAACAACTTCATTGTACAAATTATAAATTAGTCTTCTCTGCATCATTTAAAACCGTATAAGGTATTTTAAAACCCACATGAAACTGTTCGTTATCTATAAGACAAGAATATAGTAGACAAACTCAATTGTGTTCGACCCTCTTGGGCTGTCAAAGCTAGTTCAGCTTCTTGTGCTGTTGACAGTTGGTGCACTGGCAATCCGTACGTATTTAAATCGTCCTCTAAATCGTACTGCAAAACATTTAACTCTTCGTCCGTCTCTGAGACGACATAGTAATAGAAATACCGGAAACTTTTACGAAAGGAGCAAAATTCTGGAATTTTAATACTGCACGCACTAAATGCAATTTTATGTAAATAGGATATGTGAGGTACACGTCACATAGAAGGTTCCCGTATGTAAACATAAACAACAAGCGCGCAATGCATTACCCTGAGACTCATTCTTTAAGTAATAATAAAGTACTTTATGTAACGTTATTGTATTCTGACCAACAGCTTTATGTGGTGTAACGCATAATCATTTCCAGCACTGTATTAATGAATACATACTAATTGGTGATATTGCACGTGCATGTAAATGAGTATTGAAAAAAATACAGTAGTTAGGAAGAGTAAGTTATCAATCATGCTTACATATAGGAAAATGCTTTCTTTGACTGTTTGGCGTTTCAAGCAAAGATCATTTGTCAAGAAGTTAGTAGCGAGGGGACACATGTGCTTTTATATTGATAAATATAAAAGCAATAACGTAAAATATAAATGAATCAGGTAAAATTTAGGGAAAACGAAATGTAATAAATATGTAGCTAATATTAATATTTGTTTTTCTTAGGTCTGATTCTGATCTGATTGATTTATATTTCATAACATGATTGCAGTTATATTTATCAATACAAAAGCGCATTGTTTCCTGCCCCCAAGGTACTAACTTCTTGTCAAATGACCTTTGCTCAAAATGCCAAAAAAGTATTTTTCTGTTTTTCAGGTAGTTGGATAACTTTGCAACCAGCATTGACTTCACTACCTACCAGGGCCATAACTTCAGTATTACAGCTGGGGGCTGGTGAGCTTGTTTTGCCAGACTAAAAGGGTGTGACCAAAGTGGTGCCTGACAGACATTCCAATCGCAAATTAATGTTTATTTTCCCAAAATCGTTGGCGAGCAGGGAGGGAGGAAATACATACCATTTTGCACTAAGTTTTGAACGAATATATCATAATTTGTTCAATTTTTCAGTAATATTTTCGTAAATTTATCAATGTTCCCTACAACTATTACCTTTCGATAACTGACTTATGTGAGTTTTTTTCCTAATTACATATTTTTGCCCAACAGGTTTGTTGTTAAAATTGTTAAACTTGCCTGACGAAACTGCAATATTACAATATTGGGGGGGCTGTAGTTACAGTCCTGTTACCTACACTGACACCACCTCACAAGATTGAAAATAACACAAGCTATATATAAATGAGGATAGTCTGACCTGAAAGTAATAGTTTGCCATTAAGGCATTAAATACATAAATCATGGTTAATAATACTTAACTCCCGATCATTACATAATTGAGCAATGGAACAGTGTTACAAAGCACTGAGCATGCCAACCCAACTTACAATATGCGCTAGCCTGGAAGGAGGTTGTAGATTGTAAAAAAGTTCCTGTCCATGCAAAACAAGTAATTTTGGGATTAAATGAAATATACAAGACATAATACTTATAATGTTCATGCACACAAATTTATATTCTTTTATTAATGGATAGTAAAAGATAGTGTGCTACCTACCGATTTCTTTCTTGAATGCAACAACTTTAGATGTTTCCTCGTCAGTCAAAACTGTGTCTCTAATTGGGCAAAAAACTGGTTCTAGAAAAAACCGCAGGAATCTTGATGTGAACCCCTTGGCATTGTTTTGGGTGTCCTCTTTTATTGGCATTGCAGTGTGTGGCTGCATAAATCCAAGGAGGGTAAAGGCAATGTAAGCAATAGAGGATGTAATAGGCACATTTTGATCATCCCCAGTCCATGGATTACCACATTATAAAAAATAACTGCTGTGATGAGTGGTTCAATATTACTACCTGCAATTCTTGACAGAAACAACATTATTTGGCTGGAAATCCTTGGGGTAAGCATTGTTTTTGCAAGTACAATTGCAGAGGGGAAGTATATTATCTGACTGGAATTCCTTGGAATTCCTCAGGTGTGAAGGTGCTGGGAAGAATGTCCTTAATAGAGGGGCAGTTAAGATTTTAAATGCAAAGCCCAATGGCAAAATACTGTATATCACAGTCGTAAATTTGAAAACCAAGGCCGTGAGGTAGAGCCTACTTTCCAGGTCACACACTCACATGGATGTCTGCTGACCTACTGTATCAATTACCACTTTATAAAATGTGCACAAAATTGTGTAGGATGAAATACTGGTAATACTAGAAAATACATGCATGCAGAAACCCTCGCCTTGCTGACAAAACCATTTTATTTTCCGAACGTGAAGTATTTTAAGTAGTTGTCATGGTAACACGATAATTCTTTAAGAATATTTTTACAAATGAAAATCCCCTATAAATATCACTTTTAATTACAAAATTATCAATTTCCTAAACATATATATGTTAGGTATGTTATTATACGTAATATAAGCTTGAATTTAAGGTAAAAATTCATCCACAAACGCTTCGCAAAACGTTTTAAAATGTTCTTTTACTATAGAACTAAACTGCCTTTATCGATAAACTTTGAGTTCGAAATAAAATTATTCCAAATTCTCCCACGCAAATAACTTTGCTTAGTATAATAAAAACTGTAATCAATAGAGAAACACTGAAATAATACGCTGTCTTGTTTCATATTTATACACAACGATCGGCTTTTAAAGTAATTACAGTAGGTATGTTATTATACGTAATATAAGCTTCAATTTAAGGTAAAATTCAACAACAAACGCTTCGCAAATCGTTTGAAAGTGTTCTTTTAATATAGAACTAAACTGCCTTTATCGATAAACTTTGAGTTCGAAATAAAATGATTCCAAATTCTCCCATGTAAATAACTTTGCTTAGTATAATAAAAAGTGTAATCAATAAAGAAACGCTGAAATAATACGCTGTCTTGTTTCATATTTTATGTACGCAACGATCGGCTTTTAAAGTAATTACAGCCGAGATTACAGTATATTAAAAGCAAACAATGCATCAATAATTAAAACAAACTTACCTTCGTTAACGTCGGCACCTTTACTTCCTTCTTTTAGCAATCCTTTTGCCTTTATTTCATCAAAAATCCTTTGCAATTTACAAAATCTTGCAAAAATGAAATATATTTGCAAGAAATCATCAAATCAATTTCGCTGTCGTCAATGGTCATGCAGCCGTTATAATGGCAATTTTAAATAGGACCAATCAGTGTTGGCTATTCATTACAGTCCGCTATATTATGAGATCAGTGAGGATGACCACCCACCGAAACACGCACAGTGACCCACGCCCGCGATATTTGATGAACTTTAGACTTGGCTAATGCTTCCCTTCCCCGGGTGTAAATAGCCGGGGGGAATTAGTACCCTTGCACGGCGCTTCGCGCCGTCGGCTCGGGGATGATTGTATAAGGTACTGGTAGTCTTTATATACTGTAGGTTCATATGGTTGGCTATGGACCAGCTTTGATAGTTCATGAATTTCAATTTGCCTCCTGATATGAGGTGGCTGTATTGACTACTGTATATTGGCAGGATTATCAGGCTCAACCAAACAAAAACGCTGTGTACAGTATATAAATTAAAAGCCCATTGGTGACCACATTTAAGGGATGGAAGCATGGCTTGCCTGCCTGGGGAGGCAGCTCTGTAAGCAAGATCTTGCTGTGTTAGTAAAATTACTTTATCTGCTTTTCGTAGTGAAATTACCTTGTGTTTATATGGACAAGTTGACTTGGGCAGGTTGTCTAGATTGTGCTTGAAAGAGGCGAGATCTCGTTACCAGGATGAAAATGTCTCCACATAAACATGTACAAGAGTATAAACCTGGCCCAGGCTGAAATTTCAAATAAATTATCATAGCAAGCAGGATGAAATTTCAGATGTAAACACAAAAGAAACGTATTCCGCTTAATAGCAAGCTGTCTCACTAAGCGGGCCAGCCCAGCTTCCATATAAACAGCCGCTTCGATTCTGTTTGACAGTTAAAATGTAGTTTTAAACACAATTTATTAAAAATGTTGAAATGATAAAGTCGGTGCACATTCAAGGGGCAATCCGAGTTAATCACTTAAAACAAGCTTTTGACTGGAGAACTGAACACACCAACTAGATTCATAATATTAAAAGGCAATAAAGTAGATGGGATTTAGACCACAATGTGACTCAATGGTGACCACATTTAAGGGATGGAAGCATGGCTTGCCTGCCTGGGGAGGCAGCTCTGTAAGCAAGATCTTGCTGTGTTAGTAAAATTACTTTATCTGCTTTTCGTAGTGAAATTACCTTGTGTTTATATGGACAAGTTGACTTGGGCAGGTTGTCTAGATTGTGCTTGAAAGAGGCGAGATCTCGTTACCAGGATGAAAATGTCTCCACATAAACATGTACAAGAGTATAAACCTGGCCCAGGCTGAAATTTCAAATAAATTATCATAGCAAGCAGGATGAAATTTCAGATGTAAACACAAAAGAAACGTATTCCGCTTAATAGCAAGCTGTCTCACTAAGCGGGCCAGCCCAGCTTCCATATAAACAGCCGCTTCGATTCTGTTTGACAGTTAAAATGTAGTTTTAAACACAATTTATTAAAAATGTTGAAATGATAAAGTCGGTGCACATTCAAGGGGCAATCCGAGTTAATCACTTAAAACAAGCTTTTGACTGGAGAACTGAACACACCAACTAGATTCATAATATTAAAAGGCAATA